CCCTGGTGCTGGCCTCAAAACGGCCTACCGGGTCTGGGCCCCTACCGGGCATCCAGACCGTGCTGCTGATGCAGCAAGGTGCGAAAATGTGCCTGGCCTGAAAACGGCCCCATCCCTGTGTACCTAGCCCAAGGCGTCGCCTTGGGGCCTGCAGGTCTGAAACAACATCTGCACCTACCGGTCTGGCGCCAAAATGCGCCTGGCCTCGTTTTGGTCCTGCCTCCGGTACACCCAGTCCCAAGGTCCGGCCTTGGGTCTGTAAGTCCGAAACGGCACCTGAACAAACAAAAATAGGACAGCAAACACACACACACGGGGTAAGTAAAAATAACCCTATCTACTAGTGTGCTACCTAGGGCGTGAAGGGCCGCCATGGGCCTCCAAGGCGCGTGCTGTATGGCACGCAGCCTGGGGGCCCCTCAGCAACCGTCGGGCCCCTCAGCAACCGTCGGGCCCCTCAAATGGGCCCCGTGTGCAGGCGCAACATGTAACATTATGGTGGACCTCATGTGATACCTGCAGTAGAAGAGGGACTCGGACATTGATTCTGAGCGATTCAACATTGTTATTATTATTCTTGTTTGAATAAGAGAGGAGATAAGGAGGAGGAGAGTGGTTGGCAAAAAAGAAGAGCATTATCATTGGTCTATGCTGGTGTACATCATCTTCTTCTTCTTTCTTTCTTCTTTTTCTTCTTCTTACCCTCTCTCTCCTCTCAAGTTCATTCATTTCTTTTTGCAATTGGACAGTAGTATACTTTCTGATGAATATGTACTTCGAAATTGGTCAGGATCATAATATTGGTATCAGAGCAGATTCTACTTGCTGATGAGAGTTGACTTTGTTGCCCTGACCCTAACCTAAGTGGTTGAGGGCAACACTTCGGGTTAGGGTTGGTTGTAAGGGATGTGGAGCAGTGTATCTAAGGGAAGCTGCCCCCACCTGGTTAGGTCGTGTGGGGTCGACACTCGACCTAACCAGGTTGCTTGAGAGTGAGATTGGGGTGGCGAGACATTTCATGGAGACTTCATGCGACATCTTGAGAGATGCGGCAGTGACAGGCACTCGCACCTAGAATCTGATTCAAGGGAGACACTTGGTGACTTAAGGGCTGCCGCCAAGTAGGCGAACTTGAGGGACAACAGCCATTCAACATCTAATGACGACAAGTTGCTACTTTGTTCTTCAGGATCGGCGGGGGACCCGACATTGCACTTTGGTGTTGGAGTCCTCCTAGGAGATAGGACACTAGTGTAGGGGTAGCATTACAGGGGTTAGGAGGATCATATGGGAGGGGGGTGAGTACTATTCATCTTGAAGCTCATGCCACTCAGGTAAGTGTCGTGCACCTACCGGATTCCCATGTATGTGTGCATGATATTGATTGTCCTGTTGGGGTTCTGGTTTCTTTCCTACTCCTCTGTGGTCTTGATTGTGTGCTTGAATGTGTGAACTACTTACTCACCTGATGGATGGAGAAATGAAGTATCTTGATTTGAATGCCGAATCCTTCTACAGTGCTTTGTCTTTTCATCTCTGAACGATTGTAGTCTGTAGGTTCTGCTGGAAATTGAAATTCGTTTTTCAGTACGGTAGAGGTAGAAATTGAGTCCATGTGGGGCTCCTCTTGGTTGAGACTCGGTCATGACCTACGTGGGACCCTTAGGGACCCAATGGGATCAGGCCCAAGCAGGAAGGGCCCCTTGGAGCCATATCTGTTAGACATTGGTTCATTATCTTTCTCACTGAGATCTAAAGTTTTATTCTTTTGGTTAGGACACCCGCTGCCGAGGGGATCTCGACTGAGACGTTTCACATGCTTTGATCGCATCTTTTGTGGCTTGACTCACACCTTGTACACCACTTAATCCTCCATTGTTGCATATAATCACTCGTTGTCTGATTCGTTGTGCGGTCACGGAACTGGTCAGACTGGACTCGAGAGGATCTCGTATGCAGTCTGATCAGGTTGGGTCGCTAGATCAGACCTCTCATGTGAATTTATGTTCTTATATTTGTGTTGCTCTCTAGTCCAAATGTAATGTCGCTCCAGCTAGGAGTTCTACCTTCTCTTCTTTGAACTTTTTAATTTGTTTCTTTTCCAGAGTTCGTATTTTGATGCCCATAGAGACTCACAGACAAAACGAAGAGAGTGAGAGAAGAGAGAGAGACAGAGAGAGAGCACTCGTCTTGAGGGACTAGCTAAAATGGCCGACACAAAGACTTTATGTGGCCTTAAAGGCCCAACTGGATGCAGCCATAGTCCACTATGACAAGGCACTAGCAAGGGAAGAGAAGGCAGAGGAGGAAAAGCGAAAAACCGTTGTTGTGGACTATGATGCTGTCTTCAAAACAGTCTCCTCCTTGCCCAACACTGAGGTCAAGAAATATTTGGTCGAATGTGCGCGTGCTCTCATAGACTATCACCTACTCAGTGAAGTTCCTGGTCAGATCGCTTAACTTTTTTGACCAGGTAAGTGAACTGCGAACATATATGGCGGATATGGCCAAGAAGCACCGTGATCAGATCCGGCAGATGGCAAATCTGCATCAGGACCAGATTCCTAATTCACTTCCTCTACCTTCTGCCTCCAATGTTGCTAACCAATATGTCCTTGCTTCTCTCCATACCTCTACTCCTCCTCGCGAGTGTGATTCAATTGGGACCTGCAGTAGGTGCAGACCCCGCTGTCGAGCGCATCGGTCCCGCAGGGGGACCCTCCCGGCCACGTCACGCAGGATTTTGCAGGACTTCGTTGTGGAGCGCGGTTTGCCGCTTCGGCCGAGTGCGCCAGCCGTACCTCTTCTGAGCCCCTACGACAGGATAGGGTCACGCGAGGCACAACTTACCTCCACCCGGGGGAGCTGTCACCATCCCTTGGGTGGGCGCATCCCTGCCGAGCTACCGAACCACGTGCGAAAGCTTTTCGTATGCAATCGCAAAGGTGGCCCGACCGAGGGCGTTTTTGGTTCGCTGTAGCATTGGGGGTATGCGCGGTTAATGCCCCTCAATCGAACCCGCACGCGAATCGACGCATTGGGGGGCTGAGGTCCCAAGCGTGACTCGTCGTCGGTCGACTAGGACGCATTCCACTCACCACACGTTACAAAATAACTAAATACACACACAAAAGAAAACAAACTTTCCTAGTCCCTTCCATGTCCGACCCCTAACCTTTTAACATGGAAGTCGGTCTAGCGCCGCAGACACAAGGTTTTCTCATATCGATTAGCCATGCAAGCATACGCACATAGTCGCAATGATGGAGTACTATGTAGTACCCATAATCGCGGGATCCTCGATGATCTCGAGGGTCACGTTCGACACTCGACTGTCGACTGACACGCGCCTTGAGGGGTTAATCACTCGATGCTAGACAACCGCCAAGGCGGTTGATCACCACACCCTCTTCGACATCTTGCGGAGAGTGGGTGGTACACAGGTTCCGGCCTGTGGTCGTAGTCAGCTCTCGTGGCCTTGGAGATAAACTCCATAATCCAGGGCCTGAAGCGAAATCAAGGGGGTTGACTTTGACGGTTGCTACGGACTTCAGCGTCCAACTATAATCCCTATACTCTAAAAGAATGTAAAGGGCCCAGCGTGACGCTTCCCGCTGGGCCCAGCGAAATTTGGTATGGAGGCGGTCCCTATACTCTTAAAGAATGCAAAGGGCCTAACGTGACGCTTCCCACTAGGCCCAACGAAATTTGGTGTGGAGGCGGGCGGGACTGGGGCAAGGTAAATCTGCCGCGGCATTTCATGGCGGGACTGCGGGCGGGAGTGAGGGAAATTCGGTGTGGCGGCGGGCGGACTAGCGCAAGGCTTATCAGCGGCGGCGTTCCGTGGCGGGACAGGGGTGGTGTGGGCCTGCGTGGCGATGCACGGCACTGCGTGCTGAAAATTAACGCGTGGCGCGCCAGCGGGACATGGGCAGTGAGGGGCGGGGAAATTGCGGCGCTGTGTGTGGTCAGCAGCGAAAGCGAAAATTGACGTGCGGCGCAGCAGCGGGACGTGGGCAGTGCATTGTTTCAGGAGGCGAGCTCCGTGGTTCAGTATCCGCGCGCGGTGTCATGAGACGAGCTCAGGGGTCCGAGAGGGCAGTTCGGTATCCTCCTCGCAAGGTGACTTCGCAGGGGGCCATGCGCAGTAGATTCATTCGTTTTTTATCATCCTGTCGATGGAAGTACACACACGCACACACATAGAGAGAGAGAGAGAGAGAGAGAGAGAGAGAGAGAGAGAGAGAGAGAGAGAGAGAGAGAGAGAGAGAGAGAGAGTTTTCCATCGATAGGATGAAGGCAGTCCCGAGTTTGGTCATCCTATCGATGGAAGTAACAAAGTAGCATGTTGGTCGGTGCGTGGCTCATCCTATCAATGGAAAACTCTCTCTCTCTCTCTCTCTGTCTCTCTCTCTCTCCGTCTCTCTCTCTCTCTCTCTCTCTCTTTGTGTGTGTGTGTGTGTGTGT